GCCGGATTGGGAACGGGGTTGATCCGCTGATGCTGCAGGAAGTCGCCCAGCATCCTGGCAGTGGCTGGCTATGGCTTCTCCAACTGTTCCTTAGCGGGCGCCCTATTTTCCTCCTCGCTATAGAAGCCAGCGGGTGTCCGGAGTCCTAATGGAGAGGTCGTCGGAGATCGTATTACTGGTGGTTCTGCTAAAAAGATACTTCTATTGGTACAACGCGACCAAATTCTTTTGGCCAGATCTTACTTTCTTTGCGAGGACACGCCCGGCAGGATGTCCATGTAGAGATCGAAGTCGCACTCGGCATGTTCCTTCCCACTGGGATTCTCTAGTGGATCTCCTCCAGCACTTCAACTATTCTGCGGATTTGCCCCTGTTGTTTTGCTTCCTGTCGGTGAAATCCCACAATAGAAGGCAACTGCTTGGATTAGGCGTTCTATTTCATCTGCACTGAACTCCTGCATCCTATTTTGGGGTTTTCCTTTCATTTTTATACCCGCTACTCGTAGAGTAAAAGGGTATACTAGATTCGTCGGAAAGTATGTAACAGGCAGAAGGAAGCGTGTCCGACCCCACAAAGTATATATATTCTTGATCAGGATCACTAGCCGAGTCGATCTAGCCATGTCCGTCGGATGAACTCTGCAATTTCGGATACTATAAGAGCTAGGATATTGGGATTTGGCATGCAGATTCCTGAGCTTCTTGTGCAGCGCAAGTTTGTTTCAGCAGAGTGCCACACCCACTCTAACGCACACAAGCCGCCCAAAACTGTGGCTCCCACAGTTTCGATGCTAGAATAAACATTGTAACTGAAATGTATTGATCTTATCAATACCCGATGGACCAAAAAAAAAGTTTGCCACGCCCCCTTTAACGCCCACAAACTTCAAAAAATCGCAAGTATGAACGCGGATATCTCGGAAACTATCAAAGATATACAATTGGGACTTCAGATTAAAGATTCCGTAGCCTTGTGCGCAGCGCAAGTTTGTTTCGCAAATATGCCACGCCTACACGCCGCCTAAACCTGTAGCGCCCATAATTTTCATCCTCTCTGGCATATGGATATAACCAAGACGTTAAGTGTGACCGCATACTAACAAAATACCACATGTACCATTCTTTTTTTAATCATTTTACAAAAAGTATAAATTGGTACAATAGACGACCCCAAACTGCTCCAAAATTCTATTAATTTTTTTACAATATTATTTTTTTGCAATTTCTCTGTTATAAATTTTGACAAAGTGGTTTTAAAATGTGCTTTTCACGATCCCAAGGCATACAAGCAAATAACTGCAAGCCCTTTTATACCCGTTACTCGCAGAGTAAAAGGGTATACTAGATTCGTCGGAAAGTATGTAACAGGTAGAAGGAATCTGTTTCGACCCCATAAAGTACTTATATTCTTAAACCGTCGGATTAGCGCTGAGATCTCGGAAACTATAAGAGCTAGGATATTGGGATTTGGCATACCCGTTATACCCGTTACTCGCAGAGTAAAAGGGTATACTAGATTCGTCGGAAAGTATGTAACAGGTATAAGGAATCTGTTTCGACCCCATAAAGTATATATATTCTTCATCAGGATCACTAGCCGAGTCAATATCGCCATGTCCGTCTGTCTGTCCGTCGGGTGAACGCTGAGATCTCGAAAACTATATGAGCTAGGATATTGGGATTTGGCGTGCAGATTCCTAAGCTTCTTGCGCACCGCAAGTTTGTTTCAGCAGGGTGCCAAGCCCACTCTAACGCACACAAGCCGCCCAAAACTGTGGCTCCCACAGTTTCGATGCTAGAATAAACATTTTAACTGAAATGTATTGATCTCATCAATACCCGATGGACCCAAAAAAAAGTTTGCCACGCCCCCTTTAACGCCCACAAACTTCAAAAAATCCCAAGTATGAACGCCGATATCTCGGAAACTTTCAAAGATAGAGAGTTGGGACTTCAGATTAAAGATTCCGTAGCCTTGTACGCAGCGCTAGTTTGTTTCGCAAATATGCCACGCCCACAAGCCACCTAAACCTGTAGCGCCCATAATTTTCATCCTCTCGGAAACTATATCAGCAGGGTGCCACGCCCACTCTAACGCACACAATCCGCCCAAAACTGTGGCTCCCACAGTTTCGATGCTAGAATAAACATTTTAATTGAAATGTATTGTTCTCATCACTACCCGATGGACTCAAAAAAAGTTTGCCACGCCCCCTTTAACGCCCACAAACTTCAAAAAATCGCAAATATGAACGCGGATATCTTGGAAACTATCAAAGACAAAGAATTGGGATTTCAGATTTAGATTCCGTAGCCCTGTACACACCGCAAGTTTGTTACGCAAATATGCCACACCCGGTCTAACGCCTACAAATCGCCCACAAAATTCAAAAAATCGCAAATTTGAACGCGGATATCTCGGAAACTATCAACGATAGAGAATTAAGACTTCAGATTAAAGATTCCGTAGCCTTGTACGCAGCGCACGTTTTTTTTCGCAAATATGCCACGTCCACAAGCCGGCTAAACCTGTAGCGCCCACAATTTTCATACTCTCTGGCATATGGATATAAGCCTAGTACTCAGATCGACGAAAACCGCGAGCTAACCATAGGAGTGAGCGAGAGGCAAACAGGCGGCTAAAGGTTTTCGTTGGGTCTGTTTTTGAGCGCGGTACTCAGATGAGCTAAGGAAATACCAGACAAAATACCAGATTTCGCGAGTGAATTTTCGATGATCGCCGTTAGACGCGGCCCAAAGAATAAGAAATTTAATCTTTGGCGGTGTTCGTGCAAAGGCGATGTGGAAACTAAATATTAAAAATGAAAGGAAAACTTCAAAATGGGATGCAGGAAGTCAGTGCAGATGAAATAGAACGCCTAATCCAAGCAGTTGCCATTTATTGTGGGATTTCACCGACAGGAAGCATAACAACAGGGGCGAATCCGCAGAATAGTTGAAGTGCTGGAGGAGATGCCGAGTGGGACTTGGCACTCTACATGGACATCCTGCCGGGCGTCTCCTCGCAAAGAAAGAGATCTCCGACGACCTCTCCATTAGTACTACGTACACCACCACCAGCTACTTGGCAGCTTAAGCGCAGCTGAAAGACCCGCTGGCTTCTATAGGGTGGAGGAAAATTGAGCGCCCGCTAAGGAACAGTTGGAGAAGCCTTAGCCAGCCACTGCCAGGATGCTGGGCGACTTCCTGCAGCATCAGCGGATCAACCCCGTTCCCAATCCGGCTCCCACTTCTTCAAGGTCCAATATGCCTATTGGGACTCGGAGCTGAATTGCGGTGGAGCGGGAAAGACGGCGCACACAAGCCGCCCAAAACTGTGGCTCCCACAGTTTCGATGCTAGAATAAACATTTTAATTGAAATGTATTGTTCTCACCACTACCCGATGGACCCAAAAAAAGTTTGCCACGCCCCCTTTAACGCCCACAAACTTCAAAAATCGCAAATATGAACGCGGATATCTTGGAAACTATCAAAGACAGAATTGGGATTTCAGATTTAGATTCCGTAGCAAGTTTGATACGCGAATATGCCACACCCACTCAAACGCCTACAATTCGCCCACAAGTTTCAAAAAATCGCAAGTATGAACGCGGATATCCCGGAAACTATCAAAGATAGTGAATTGAGACTTCAGGTTAAAGATTCCGTAGCCTTGTGCGCAGAGCAAGTTTGGTTTCGCAAATATGCCACGCCTATACGCCGCCTAAACCTGTAGCGCCCATAATATTCATCCTCTCTGGCATATGGATATAGCCAAGACGTCAAGTGTGACCGCATACTAACAAAATACCACATGTACCATTTCTCATTTTAATCATTTTACAATAAGTATAAATTGGTACAATAGACGACCCCAAACTGCTCCAAAATTCCATTAATTCTTTTTAAAATATTCTAGATTCGTCGGACCCACTCAAACGCCTACAACTCGCCCACAAGTTTCAAAAAATCGCAAATATGAACGTGGATATCTCGGAAACTATCAAAGATAGAGAATTGGGACTTCAGATTAAAGATTCCGTAGCCTTGTACGCAGCGCAAGTTTTTTTTCGCAAATATGCCACGCCCACAAGCCGCCTAAACCTGTAGCGCCCATAATTTTCATACTCTCTGGCATATAGATATAGACAAGACGTTAAGTGTGACCGCATACTAACAAAATTGCACATGTACCATTTCTTATTCTAATCATTTTACAATAAGTATAAATAAATACAATAGACGACCCCAAACTTCTCCAAAATTCTATTAATTTTTTTTACAATATTCTTAATTTGCCATATCTCTGTTATAAATTTTGACAAAGTGGTTTTAAAATGTGCTGTTCACGATCCCAAGGCATACCAGCAAATACCTGCATACTCTTTTATAACCGTTACTCGCAGAGTGAAAGGGTATACTAGATTCGTCGGAAAGTATGTAACAGGTAGAAGGAATCTGTTTTGACCCCACAAGGTGTATAAGTTAACAACTAAGTATAATATTGCACAATGTATTACTCTAGTTATCAATTAGCTTTCCTGAGTAATGCTGATGCGCCACATTTGAGTTCAGCGCTCTGCGCTAAGAACTACCAACAGTGATATGCTGACACTTCATATTCGAAGTGGAGAGCTGCGCTGTATGGAATGCTGAGTCGGCTTGCCGACCATGACTTTGTGGCGTGATGCATTGCTGCTTGGCTTTACGTTTCCTATTGTAAACTCTGATTGTCAGTCTTGTACGAACAATTGTAACGGCGCCTGTAGCGACTGGCGAACCTAGGTTCAGCCTGAAAGCCTACTATATAGGACCCGCTTAACCCAAAGCTTGACCTAGTGTGGCCACCTGTCTCGGCTGTTCGGTATATCGATAGTTTTGAACAGCTGAGCCAGGGAGGTCTTGGAAAGTTCTAGTTTTGACACCTGTCGGTCGTCACATGATATATGTTTCCGCCAAAAGCCTCGCTGGTATCCAGCCGATTCCGGTTAAGTTCTTCTTATTTTAACCTGCGAGAGAAGCGGACGTGCCAGCAGCTCAAAATTTAAATTTCAATTAAAAGACTAAAAGTCCGAAATATATATTTTTTGAGTGGCATCCAGTATTTTTGAGTGGCATCCAGTATTCTAAGTGGTGTTTAGAACTCAGTGTAGCTGCCAGCTATAAAAGCTAGCCAGCGAAGAAAGTTTAAAGTAAATGCAAGTGCATTTGTTTAGAAATTGGTGTGTGTTTAACCTCCAACAAAATTTCACAACAGGTATTTTTAAAATTCGTGGTGGAAAACCCAGCCAATGCTGCCACAAGTTGCCGCCAAAGGCGCATCTTATTGATTCGGCCAATTTACTGGAGGATTTACCACCTCAAGAAGGCCAAAATCAAATCTCGGGGCCCAATCGTCAGGTATGGTTTTTTAGACACCCATGTCGCCAAATCTGTAATTAACTTGAATGCCCAATCGTCAGGTTGGCCCGCGAGGAATGATTTGGAGAGATTTGTGCCCTGAAGTACCCCTATCTACTATCTACCTATCTACGGGTCATGTAGTGCCGACCAAGAAGAGCAGTTTATATAAAGAGGACCGATGGCAATTTAATTCAATTATATATGCTGTTCCGATGCCCGTCATGCCGCGCATCCGTACACCAGCCGAGTTTTAAGGGGTGCGCGTAGCCGTCTGGGAGGTTCCCGAGTGGAATATCGCTGCCGCAGATTTGGGGATTTAAACCAGTTTTTGTTGTAAAAGCGCCGCGTGTGTGAACGGCCTTAACCTAGCATGGCACACTAGCCAACCGGGTTTAGCCTTAATGGAGATAAAAACTCTTTCGTATTGGATCAGTTCTAACCCTTTTATATAATTAACGCGCTTTGAGAAACCGAATTTAAGAATTAATGTGAAAAGAAAATCAATGAAATCAAAGATATGTAAACCATAAAGCAAACAATAATTTTTCGTAAAGCCTCAAGTGGCAACGCCATGTAAAGCGATAGTTATATTTGACAAATTGAAAGAAATTAACAAGTCACTCGGGTTAAAAAAGGTAATGCACGCCGAGAAGCATTAATTTAATTTAAGAAGAGCTAGATTTTTTTTAGGTTTAAATGAGAAATTTCGTTCGCGCGTCTAAGAGATATGAGAGAAATGTTTATTTGCCCTTTAAATTCTACATGGCGAGAAATATCGCTACCCTTTAGATTACAGCCAACCCATCCCGTCCGGAGATCGATCTTCAACGTTGGAGGAAATGCCGTGAGTCACACTTACTAATCACTTATATATATTACTTTATTCACATTTCTCGCCGATCCGTAAAGTGAACGAAACTAATTTGAACATAAACCCCGATCTAAAAACAATTAATTAATTAAAATACCTTGAGTTATTTGCATTCTCTATGAATTAATTTGCGATTTTCAAAAGAAGTTCAACATAAATTACGATCGCCTACTATTAAGTCCTAAAGTCTCTAATTGCCTAAAAACATGAATTGATAAATTTTAGAGAAAGTCCCTTGAAGAAGTTTTTAGAGAAAAAAATAATACAGAATACCTAAAACTAAAGGAAAACTATTTCTTTAAGCTAAAATTTATATTTAGTAAAATACATTGTTATATCATGAATATTATCTTCCTATGCCTTTTTTTTCAAATACACTATGTTCTTTTTATAAATATTATATATGACTTGTAGAGCTATCCACGGAGAACTAATTAGCTTTTCGAACAGAAATAAAACCATGGATCTATAAATAACATTGAACTGAACTAAGCTGATGATTACTCAATCGTAGGGTATCAAAGGGGTCACCGAAGCCATGCTTTAAGGTGGTGATCATAGGTTGGGAGGGCCATACGCGACCACAATACCATCCGTGGATTCGCATAGCTAACTTTCTCCAAAACTTTTCTGTCCCTATATAATACTTATTCCTGAATTTATTTATCGTTCTCTTCCGGTTTCAGTTTACTATTCTCTCTTGTCGCTAGCACGCTTATATCTGATCTTAGTGATAATAATGTGTAGTCAGTACGCGAATCTGTAGGCGCAAGACCTCCACCCCCAAAGCCGACGAGCGAGTGCCGGACCCTAATAGCGTGCCCGGCAACTGCAGATTCCCGATTTCATGCAACCGTTACACGCTACACAATACGACTGTTGGGGTAATTACCTGGTAAGGGTTATACCGATTAAGGATTATGGGGCTCGAAAGACCGACTTCTAGAAAACACCTGTTATATGCTGATCACTTATTTTTGGATCTTTTGCAATATATTTGAGCTTTTGCGCTCGTCAACTTGTGTACTTCAAGAATTTTTTTTTTTTTTATGCAAGTGTCGTCTCTTTTTGCCGACTAGAGTGACCGTCTTTCATTCGGTGATACATGCGAGATTTCCATAACAGTTTTGTATTTTTCTTACATAACACAATGACATAACATCAACATATCAAATTCAAATTAATATAATGCATCAACATCCTCCGCCCAAGTATTGGAGTCGTGAAAAATTAAGTACAGACAACGGCAATACTTAGAGTTTACAATGTATCTGTTCTTACATCTAGTTTAATTATTTTTACAGCAGGTCTCTTATAAATATGGTCTTTAATTTTTACATCAACAATTCTCACACGCCCATCATTTGATGGATACGTTTTGACAATTATGCCTTTTGGCCAAACATTTCTAGGAAGGTCGGATTCCATTATCAAAACTACATCACCTTCTTTTAAAACATTACTGTCTTTTGTCCATTTACGACTACATAGTTAAAATTGTCTATATTCTTTTTTGCATTTCAACCAAAAAATGTCTGCAAGTCTTTGTGACGATTTCCACATATTTAACAGTCTCAAATCACCATCATTGGTGTTAGTGTAAAAGGATTCGCGATAATTAGAACCAATTAACAAGTCATTTGGCGTTAATGGTTCCGACATGGAGTCTGAAGGAACAATCAAAAGTGGTCTACTGTTAATCATAAACTACATCTCACAAAACAAAGTTTTCAAAGTGTACTCTCTAGGATATCTCTCTTTTAGTAGAACTCCTAAATATTTCTTGACTGACTGTATGAGCCTCTCCCAAGCTCCTCCCATGTGAGGGGACAATGGCGGGTTAAAGTACCAAGTGCAACCTTTCGTGGTTAAAAACTGAGTAAACTTGTCATTTGGCCACTGTTCTATGATTTCTTTTATGTCCTTGTCAGCGCGTCTGAAATTGGTTCCGTTGTCTGAATATAATTCTGTCGGAAATCCTCGCCTACAACCAAATTGTCTAAATACATGCATAAACGCATTGCAGGATAGGTCTTCAGCAATCTCAAGATGAACTGCTCGTGTTGTCATGCATGTGAAAATAACACCGTAACGCTTTACATGGCTTCTATTTTGTGTAACTTCTATAGGCCCAAAATAATCAATACCTACTTTCAAAAAGGCTCTTTCGGTTGCCTTTATACGGCAACTTGGAAGCTGACCCATTAGAGGTGGTTGCGGCCTGGCTTTTTTGTTTTTACATTGCTGACAATTTCGAATGATGTTCTTTACTGTACTTCTACATTTTGTAATCCAAAACCTTTGGCGGATGTTGGCAATTACAGTTTCGGTTCCCATATGACAATTTTCGACGTGATAGTACTGAACGAGTAATTTATTTAATTCACTTAAATTATTTAGTCTGCCTCTGAGTCTTAACAGATTATCGCTAGAGAAAAATAGGGGTAGACTATGCAGACTGCTTGAAGTTGATACAGGTTCATTACATTTAAGTTTTCCAATTTCCTGATAATAACTGTCTTGTTGTATGCTAAGAAAGATTTATTTTTCCGCTTTGAAAAGTTCTGTGGCTGTTAGCTCATTATTGATAGATATTCTCAAATTTGGTCTTAGCTTTGTCAAGTATCTCAAAACCCAGGCTGTTGTTCTTAAGAATCTCATCCAATTGGAGAACCTTGAGACGTCCGGTAATATAAATGACTGCTTTTGAATGGTAGTGAGATTTACGAACTATTTATCGCTAGCATCAGAACTGTCTGGACTTAGAGGGATTTTACGCAATGGCCACTGATCTTGATTTTTTCTAAGGAATGGCGGTCCTGTCAGCCATAACTCATTTGATGAGAAGTCAAAGGATGAGATCTTTGTTGCTTTATCAGCGGGGTTCAGTTTTGAGGGTACATGTCGCCATTCACTTGAATTTGTCAATTCTTGTATCTCTCCCAAGCGCTGAGCCACAAAAGTCTTGAACCTTTTGCTGCTCGTTTTCAGCCAGAATAAGACTATCTCGGAATCTGTCCACATGAAAGTTGAGTCTATTCTGAGATTGAGCGTTTCTTTAATAGCTTTGCTTAGCCTAGCTCCTAGTAAGGTTCCTTGAAGCTCTAGTCTAGGAATTGACATTGGTTTAAGTGGCGCTACTCGCGACTTAGCTGAAATCAGGGTGGTTTCTATTTCGCTGTTACACTGGAAGCGTAGGTACGCGCAAGATGCGTATGCGTATTTTGATGCATCGCAAAATATATGTAACTGAACATTACAATGACTTATGCTAAGTGTAGTCAACTGCCTTGGAATGTAAAAATCGTTTATTTTATTTAAGCTGTTACACAATGCCTTCCATATTTGAAATTGATCGTCTGTAATGTAGTCGTCCCAATGGATTCCGCTATCCCAAATGGCTTGTAGAAGGGTTTTATTTGATATCAAAAGGTTTGAAAGAAACCCTAAGGGATCAAAAATGGACATAGCTATTTTTAATATTTCTCGCTTAGTTGGTCGTCTGAGATTGTTAAGAAGTTCAAAATAAGACTTAGAAAACTTTAAATTGTATGTGAATATGTCTTTTTTATGATCCCAAATCAAACCTAGAACTCTCTCTTCGGTTAAATTCTTTTCTGTGACTTGTTTCGATGGAGTGTTGTCTGTTATCTGATTTAAAACTTCTGGAGAATTAGATATCCAATTTCGCATGTCGAATCCACCTGCCTTGTGTACATATGTTACGTCCTTAATTAATTTTACGGCTGTACTAATGTCTGGAGCTCCACCCAAATAGTCATCCATGTAATGTTTTGTTATTATGTCCTTACAGGCTTGGTCATAGTCATTTTGAAAATCTAAGGCGTTTCTGTTTCTGACCTGTTGGGCGATACTTGGGCTACATTTAGCGCCAAAAAATATAACTTGTATTTCGTACACGTCCGGTTCGGATTTTCGGTTGTCGCCTCGCCATAGGATTCTTTGTGCGCAACGGTCTGACTCCTGTACTTTTATTTGGAGAAACATCTCTTTGATATCTCCGACAAATGCAATTTTGTGTTCTCGAAAATTCATTAGAACTGTTGACAATTGGCTATATAGATCTGGACCTGGCAAAAGGAAATCATTAAGACAATAACCATGGCTTTTGGAGGCAGCGTCGAAAACTATTCTAAGTTTGTCTGGCTTGTTGCTATTTAGAACAAATAGTAGGTCAAGGGAGGGATATTAGTTTTCTCAGCAGAAGTCAATTTCCTCATATACCCATTTTGTATGTAGGAGTCAAAGGTTTGTTTATATTTTTTTCCGTACTCCGGGTTTTTGTCCATTTTTCTTTCGCATAACAACAATCTAGAGTATGCATTTTTGTAACTTTCAGGTAGTTTAATGTTGTCACTTTTCCAAAATAGACCACATTGAAATCTGTCATCGATTCGTTTGAGGGTTTTGTCAACAATTTCCAAACATCTTCTGTAGTCAAGTGATGTCGGAAAGTTATGAGGTGTTAATAACTCATTCTCAATGGACCAATAGGATTTAACCAGATTGTGTAGAATGTCCAGGTCATCGTTAGGGTTGTCGTAACCTACGCAATTAAATACATGGCATGAATAATTTCTATCTGGAATTTCTCTAATCATTCCCACTGTTCCATGTACAACCCAACCCAGCGCCGTTTTGCTAGCGACAGGTCCTTGAAATGATTGATATTTCAATTTCCGAGATACTATGATTGACCAATTGTCTTGCGCGTTTTGGTAGGAACAAAAGGAAAAGTCTTTCAAAAACTCGTAGGTCTCAGACATGTCGCTTATTGAAAGGGTTTGAAGGGGTAGATTTAACCATGATACGGTCTTAACTTTTCGAAGAGTAAATACTTTGGAAGTCTGTTCCTTACCTCGGATACCCACACTAACTACCTTTGAGTTCGCTTGTTCATATACCTCGTTATTTGTCCACTACATCTTTAAAGGACTAGTCGGTCCTTCTAGTTGTAGGTCAGTCGCTAGTTGTTCATCGATCAATGAAATTGTCGAGGATTCGTCAAGTAAAGCGTATGTCTCGATTGCTTTTTGTGGACCTATTAGTGTGACTGGAATGACCTTTAGTAATACTTTGTTACAATTGAAATTAATGTTGCAGTTCATGTCGGGAATTGTCTTGTTTTGGTCAGGATTACTAGGCATATCAAGGGAAGCGCTTGCTGTGTTGTCTTTGTCTTTATGCAACAAAAAATTGTGGTTAAACTTACAATTTTCTGCCCTACAAGTCTTTTTACGTTTGCAGTCTTTCATAATGTGATTTCTACCCAGACAAGATATACATAACTTATTGTGAGATGTGAATTCCCAACGCTTGTCGACACTCAAGGATTTAAATTTTGGACAATCTGTTATGTGATGATCAGTAGACTTA